AAATTTTGTTTGACAATACCATGCACTGCCTTTGAACATTCTGATACATTAAAAGTGATATTTAAATTTAGGTTACTGTTGTTGTTAAATGCATCAATCAGCAATGATGTGTTGTACAAAGATTAACAAGTAGCCAGGAATTTGCTGTAAGGCAGTAAAATTATAAAGGGTTTAGGGTAAAATCATAAATTAAAGGATGAAGGTTGAATGGGTTAAGCATGATCTGAACAGAAAAGATTTGTTGATCCCTTGAAACATAATACTGAATAATTTATCAAGTATCAGTGAATCTCTTGTGGCATTTTTCACTACTAAATCAAACAGAAAAATTGACAATGTGTAACATGCATATTATTCTGCTACTAAAAATCCACGGCATCAGTGCCAACCTGTATCACTTCATTAATTGTGTCGGATTTTATTCCTTGGATGTGTGACTGCTACAAAATGACAAGAACAGCCTCCTTCACATTAACGTCATGTTGGTACAGATCTTGTGTTAGCAATGCTGATGGGTTTATTTGGAGAGGCCACAAGGAAGGCTGTTGTTTGGAAAATTGACTTGTCACACAAGTTCAATGTGAAATGCCTCTCTGATGTTGGGGTCAATGTTAATAACTGAGGGAGGATAGAATTAAGTTAGCTGCCAAGAACATCTTTTTTAGAGTCTCTTACCTGTGGAACAAATTGCCAGAACATGCAGTGACAATGGAGTTATGACAGCCATTCAGTATGGAACTGAATGAGTTTTTTGTGAACAGCTCAAAGTCATCTTGACCTATGGCAAGTAAATGGGTTAGCTGTAACAAGTGATACTAGTTATTGCAGTCTCCTGGGACTTTCATGATTTACCTTTGAGAATCAAGCAAGAATCACCCAGAGATTTATCCCTCTACATTTGTTCTCTTTATTATCAATACCATTCCCAGGAAATTGTATGAGTTGAGGTGGGTTTAATGCAGATAGACAGTAACATATCTGGGTGGAACAGGTAAAGTGGATCAATTTGTCTTCTTCACATTTCATATGTTTGTTCAATTGTACCACTGCAAAGTGCCAAGTCTACTTAAATTTGGTGGAACTCTGTTATAGGAGAGATGTTATTAAACTGTCGAGGGATCAGAAGAGATTAACCAGGTTGTTGCTGGGAACGGAAGGTTTGAGTTAGAAGGGGAAGCTGAACAGTCTGGGACATTTTTTCACTGGAGCATAGCAGATTGAGCAGTGACCTTATAGAGGTTTATAAAATCATGAGGGGTATAGATAAGGTGAATGGCAGGTATCTTTTCCCCTAGGATGGGGGATTTCAAGACTACAGAGCATATTTTTAAGCAGAAAGATTTAGAAAAGACATGAGGGCCAATTATTTTACAAGTGAGTGGTTCGTGCGTGGAATGAACTTCCTGAGGAAGTGGTGCATGCGAGTACAGTTATGTTTAAAAGACATTTAGATAAGTACACAAATAAGCAAATTTTGGAGGCATATGGGCCATGCGCATATGGAACTAGCTTAGTTTGGAATAATATTCAGCATGGACTGGTTGGTCCAAAATGTCTGTTTTCGTGCTGTATGACTCTATGGCTCTCTAACTCATAAACATGTCAATTAAGAGGCTACCGTTATAGTGTCAATGATTTCTATATTGGAAAGCCAGTTGCTGTGTTCTCGGTTTTTAGTCTTTACATACTGTTTATCAAGCACGATATGTAGGTTTCTTTGTTGAGCACTGTGTGATGTTTGAAGTTGAACTGATAGGAAGTGCATACTGACATCTAATGCAGTTGATCTCCCATAGCATTGCTCACAGGAAGCTTGAGAACATGATATTTTAGAAGGAAACTAATTTTCTGTGGCATTGTCTATGATTGGTGAGCGGCTGTGTTGTTTCAGCAGGGAAGAGTAGCTGTGAAAGTGAGAAACTGTGGGTGTCATGCTTAGTTTGGAGAATGTAATGATTAGCTAGGAAATGTGAATACTTGGAGATTGGGAGTGAGTACTGAAAGGCCATGGAGGCAAATGAGGAGGACTAAATTGAGGCAGTGAGCATTTTCAGAGATTAGTGGTCAAGAGACAAAGATTACCAAGTTCAGACAAAGAAAGAAATTGCTTGCGATTAGATGACACAATACCATGCATCGATTATGGCTCAGTATTAGTGCTCTCACTAACGTGTTGGTAGGTTTTGGATTCAAGATCCACATCAGGATTGAGGGATGGCTACACTGTTATCTGGGTATTATCATATGGTCGGGGGGATTTGTTGTGTGCAAATTAGCAGCTGATTGTTCAACGTGACTACCTGTCAAAAATACTTCATTGACAGTACAACACTTTGGGACATCTTGTTGTCATGAAAGGCACTATGTAATTGAACGTCTTTTTCTGAAGCTTGTAAGAGGAAGGAAAGGCACTGGGAGGTAAGGATATTGATGTCCTATAAAGCAGTAGCTTTGAGTGGGGCAAACACAGAGAACAATGCAGAGACTCAAAGGGCAGGCAGTGCCTTGGAGTGAGGAACAGAGCTAATGTTTCAAGTCCAGTATGAATCTTCTTCAAAACTGACCTGCTGAGACTCTCCAACATTCTCTGTGCTTGTTTCAGTTCTTCAGCTTCCGCAGTATTTTGTTTTTATTCAAGGTTTGAGTGAGATCTTGATTTCAGCCCAGTCATAAATCAGAGAGAAAGCAAGCCTGGAATCATTAAACCATACAGCACATTAGGAGACCATTTGGTCCATTGGGCTGCCACAGGTTATTTGACAGAACAATCGAATCAGTCCCACTATCCTGCAAGTTTGTTTCCCAGTCTATGGCTGCATATTTTTTGGGATAGGCAACAAATGCTGGCCTAATCAAGAAGCTAATGGAATGCTAACCTTCATGTCTAAAGGGCTGGACTATAGACGTTGTGCTACCGTCATACAAAACCCTAAGATTCTGGAGCCACAGGGCATAGTTAAGAATTAAGGCCAGGCCATTCAGGAGAGATGTTAGAAAGTACTTCCTCATGCAAAGAATAACGAAGTTTCAGAACTCTTTTCCTCAAATGGCGGTCAATACTAATTCAATTGTTAAATTTAAATAGACATTATTTTTATTAAACAAGGGTATCAAGGGATATGGGCCCAAGCCAGACATATGGAGTTAGGCCACAGATTAGCCATGATCTTTGTGAATAGCAGAGCTGGCTTGAGGGGCTGAATGGTGTAGTCATGTTCCTATGTTTCTAGGAGGCGATGCCCACAACCCATAAATTAATAAATTTTTAAAATTGCAACATAGACGAACAGGAAATATAGTTAAGAAGAGCATTAAAACAGACAATATTGGAAATGCACAACAGATGTAGCAGTTTCTGTGAAGTAAGAAACTAAGTTTTACATTTCCTTTCATTAAATTAGAAACAATTAGAGATGTAATAGGGTTTAAGCCAGCAGGCTAAGGAGGTTAGGAAATAACCAAAAAGGAAGTCCTTTAAGACCAGGTGGAAAGTGGGAGAGATTAAATAACCAAAGGGAAGATGGTTAAAGGCAAAAGGAGAACAGCAATGGGATAGATATAGAAGGGGCAGGATGGAGACTGAGTGAGAATAGCACAATGATTCCCAGCAAGTGCCATCTAAAAATATGGAGCAAGGCTTCTATGATTGTTGAACTTAATGTTGAAACCAGAAAGCTGTGAAATGTCTTATCAGAAGATGAGGAGCTATTCCTTGCACTGCACTGGAACAGCTTAGGAGACCAAGGACAGAAAATTCAGAGGGATAGTGAGATTGGAGTAGAGAATTAGAAGTTGGAGTAGAGAATTAGAAGTTAGCAATGTGAATGTGAGGTCATGCCCATAGACTGAACAGATTGTTTTCCACAAAGTGGTCATCCAACCTGAGTTAGGTCTTCCCTAAGGAGAAGACCATATTGTGAGCAGTGAATACACTTAAACAAAATTGAAAGAAGTACAAGCAAAGCAGTGTTTCACCACGAAGGAGTATATCTTTGTGACCCTGGGATGGTGAGAAGGAAAGAGGTCAAAGAACAGGTATTTCATCTCCTCCTCTTGTATTGGACAGTACCATGGGAAGGGTTTGATTGTGATTCAAGAGTGTACGAAATGTTGCAAGGGGAATGTACTCTTTAAAATTCCAAAAAGGCTAAGTTGGCGATGGCTTCACACTTGAAATGGCAGTCATAGAACAGAATAAGATGCAGATAATTCAGTTCAGGTAAAGGTTCTTCATTTCACTCAAAATGCATGCCTTTGCTTTCTGATGGTGTCTAAGACTGATACGTTTGTTAGATGCTAACTAAATGGAGCTGAGGTGGAGATGATCAATAGCATCAAGTTCCTAGGAGTGATGATCATCAGCAAACTATCCAGGACCACCCACATTGATGCGACGGTCAAGAAGGCACAACACTGCCTTTTCTTCCTCAGGACGCTGAGGAAATTTGGCATGTCCATATGGACACTCACCAATTGCACCATAGAAAGCATTCTATCTGAATGCATCATAGCTTGGTATGGAAACTGCTTTGCCCCGGACTGTAAGAAATTATAGAAAGTTGTGAACACAGCCCAGTCCATCATGTAAGCCAGCCTTCCATCCATTGACTCCATCTACACTTCTTGCTGCCTTGGAAAGGCAGCCAACATCATCAAAGAACCCTCCCGCCCCACTTACAATCTGATGCAACCTCTTCCATCAGACAAGATACCAAAGCTTAAACACAAATACCAACAGGTTCAAGAACAGCTTCTTCCCTGCTGCTATTAGATTTCTGAATGGGCCTCTCAAATTTCAACTCTAATGTTGCTATTGCTTTTTGTGCAGCTTCTTTGCAGCCGTAACTAAGTATTCCTCACTCTGTTCAATCACCCTTTGATCTTTATATGCTATGATCTGCCTGTACACACACAAAACAAAACTTTTCAGTGTCCCTAGGTACATGTGGCAATAATAAATCAAATCAAACTATTAATTCTAACAATGTTCTTGTTTCCAGATCCAATAGAATGGAGTGTGGGCAATGTTCAGAAGTGGATTCTATGGACAGAGCATCAGTACCGACTGCCGCAAATTGGGAAATCTTTCCAGGAGCTCAGCGGCAAGGACCTGTGCTCCATGTCAGAGGAGGAGTTCAGGCAGAGATCACCGATGTGCGGTGATATTTTGTACGCACACCTGGACATCTGGAAATCTGGTATGTGTAAGGCAATTGTACAAGGCAGGAGCAGCCAATGCTCTTGTCCTCACACTTATTTAACAGGCCTCTTATCCTTCCGCCACTTTTGGTCCTGAACCAGCTAAGCTACAATCACCCTGTTGTGTATACATTACCGGTGAGTGAGTCCAGGCAGCAATTACAGGAAGGTTATTCGACTGCGGAGGCATCACAAGCTAATCTGGACTCACCTGACAACCATTTAATTGCCAGAGGCTTTTTGGGTCAACATCAGGAGAGGGTTCAAAGGCTTTTTTTTTACCTCCTGACACACTGTGATCAATCTCATGGTCACTGCTGACATTCCAACTGAAATCAGTTCACAGAACACGGACATGTTTGAACCTGCAACTCCGTTGCTTTATTTCTGCTTAGCTTGGAAACATCATTCCAGGTCATCTTTCCTGTCCCCTCCCCCTGCAACCAACCCTCCACCCCAGCAAATTCTGCCCACCTTGTGATTTTGTTGAAGTGTCACTTTGACATTCTGGCAGAGTGAGCAGTTATCCAATGCCAACCATGATATCCATCCCATTAGGCTCCTTTCACAAGTTAATGTTGGCTTCATTGCCCTGGTTAGTTGTGGTGGCAGTGAGTCCAAGCCACAGCTCACATTATGTATAAATAACTGAGTCCACAAAATTAGCAGGGCACTCTGTCCCTTATCTGGATGGCAGCTAGTGTACACCAGCTTGGAACCCACCATTATGAACAGAGCACTTTAGTTGTTATGTTAGTGATGCCTAGAATTCTTTTATATGACTTTATGCGCAGAGTTTCACAACATAAATAATTAAAGTCAATTTTAATGGAGGCTGGTATCAGATTTAAGAACTAAAAAGATCTATAAAGCTTATGGTTATAAAAACAATGCTGGTAAACCTTATCATTATAAACCCTCATTACCAGTACTGCTGTTTGAAATACTCCTTATGAACCAATTTGCTATTACAAATATTAACTTACGTTATAGAATTTTTTATAACACAGGAGGTCATCAACCCCTTGTACTTGAGAAGGTTCTCTGAACAAGTAATCCACTTTTTCCAGTTCTGTACTCTTTTCCACTTTTAATTTTTCCAGCTTTTCAATAATCTCTCTTTAAAAGCTATTACTTTGGTTACTGTTTATGCTAAGACCTTCTCTGTTTTAACAATCCTTTGCAAAAAGAATATCACAACTGAGATGCCTTGTGCCTATTTACCTCATTGTAAACTCCCATAACTTGAATAGGTTTCTCTAGCCTCTCCTCGTTGCAAACTCATATGCTATTACAAAGTCACATTACAAACCCTGTCATTATTCAAGGTCCTCAGTATAAATTGCTTTGTTAAAGTTTTGCCATTGTAGCGAGCTCCATCAAATCTTTACATTGCAAACCCTATCCTTATTATTATTACAAATCCCAGCATTATTGTAGACTTGTTCATTACAAATCTAGGTATTATAGACTTTCTCATTATAAACCTATACATTTAGGTGGATGACAAACATTAGCATAATTGTAAGTGCTCATTATTATATATGGGACTTTTTGCGTTAGAGTGTAGGAGGTTGAGGGGTGACCTTTTTGAGGTTTATAAAATCATGAGGGGTATAGATTGGGTGAATGGTAGGTGTCTTTTCCGCGGGATGGGTGATTTCAAGACTAGATGGCATATTTTTAAGGTGAGAGGAGAGAGATTTAAGAAAGACATGAGGGGCAATTTTTTTACATAGGGTGGTTTGCGTGTGGAATGAACTTTCTGAGGAAGTGGTAGATGCAGACACAGTTACAACATTTAAAAGACATTGGATAAGTACATGAATAGGAAAAGTTGGAGGGATATGAGCCAGGAGGGGCAGGTGGGACTAGTTTAGTTTGGGATTACAGTCGGCCTGGACTGGTTGGACTGAAGGGTTTGTGTCTGTGTTGTATTACTCTACGATTCCATGTACAGTGAACAAAATCCTCTCCACAACTATTTGACTCTGATTTGAATCTGCAGTATTATAGGCACTGCAATTATAAATCTCTTTGTTATTATAAACATTTCTCCATTATTAAAAAGCATTTTCTTGGTCTTGAGTGAAGTTTCACTGTGTTGGTTAGAGCACTTCAATAAGACGAATCGTAGATTTAAAAAAAAGCCAATTGTGTTGGTTCCCACGCATCTGTGCCTATTAGGATGGAGTATATTTTAATTACTTCATCAAAACATGAAGTATTTCATTTGAAAATGTAATTGAATGATCTAAGACATCGGCTGTACTGTGACTGTGAACTTGTAAAGGGGCAACCCGTACGACTGGCACCACTATGTGTGTCAGATTGACCACTCCATTGTTTTGTGACTCAAGCTACCACAGAAAGAACTGATGGTGCGAGATGACCTCTTACTTCGTGATGAAACTGCGGCTGCACCCAGCTGACCACTCAGCTAATCGCTAGTTTGTCAGAACCAAGCAAACAATACCATTGGTTTGCAGCAATGGAAGGGAGCAACAGTGTACCAGAGAACATTAGCAGCATTACACCAGGGTGCACTGGCAAATTTACACCAAGGAGGGTGACGAGTTTTACACAGGGAGTGTGAGCAACATTACAGTGTAGCGTATGTAACTTTACAGAAGTGGGTATGAGTATCTTTACATCGGGGATTCTGAGTGACTTTACACTGGGGATTGTGAACAAATTTACATCTGGGAATATGAATATCATTAAACCAGGGAGTGTAATCGTGCACCAATGGGTGTGAGTAACTTTATATCAGAAAGTGATTAATTCTGGAGCAGTGTGGGTGAATAGCTTTAGACTAGAGCATAATAATAATAAATCAGTGAGTGTGAGCAACCTTACGCCAGGAAGTGTGAGTAGCTTGACACTGCATTGTGTGAGCAATTTTACACCACAGCTGTTAGGGTCTATATGGTGTTTAACGGTAATTGATCTGCAGTAGCTTGTGTTAGTCTGTTCACTGATCTTTGTAATAGTACTGGATAGCTTCTGCCTACAGAGTTAACTCCACAGACAGACAGAAAATTCGGGAAAATAGACTGCATGCATATTTTGAAACTTGAGTAAATTGTAAGATATTTTAAGTTGTGTAAATAAACTGTTTGGGTTTAAAACTACCACTGTATTGCTTTGACAGAAATCAAATAAAGAAAATCTATAGCAACTCAATCCAAATATAACTAGGTTCAGGTAAGTTTAATGCCAATGGATTGGATAGAGACTATAAACTGGGCAAATTTTACAGGTAAAATTGAGAAGGTCTGTGTGTAGCACAATGGTAATGTACCTACCTCTGCACCCAGAGGTCTGGGTTCAAGTGCCATCTGCCACTGAGGTATGCCATAACATGCCTGAATGGGTTGATTAAAAATGGTTTTGTTTTAAGTGGAGCAGCAATGTAACCAACATTCCTGTTGGAATTTCTTCAGTTGCTCACTGGGGTGCCAACCGTCCAGGACTACCATGGATGACAGACTGAAATACCAATGGTAGACTCATAGTTCTGTGGAAAGCCTGATGTCAAGCTAGAGACAAAGTCTTCCATGCCTCTTGACAGTGGTACCAGGTTCTCTGGCTGGCCTACCAATGTATTGTGTGTAAGGCTATTTTTCAGAACGTGATCACACTGAAATCCTCATCCAAGTCTGTACTTGCAACAGAACACACGGGCGACCTCAGACTCTGTGGCACCAGCAGCAGTGCTGCCCCTTCCCCATGCCCGGAGATTCACCAGGTGCAGATACTGCTACCCTGCTCCCCTCTTAAATACACATCATGCTAGTCTCTGAGCTGCCAGCTGGAAATGGACAGCTTTCCTTCTTTGTCACTCTCCAGTTCCTCTTGGACATCAGGCTCATGCTCCAGTTCATCACCAAGTGACAGTTCTTGGGTATCTGAAAGCACGAGACAGGGATAGGACTCAGGGAAGAAAGAGGTGCACCTGCAGTTTGTAAATCAGAGGAGATCGTGGGTTCAGGAGAATGCGGGATGTGAGAGGTAGATTAGGGACAAAAATAAAAGGTTTGATTCCCAACTTTGGCCATGGTCTTGGCCCTGACTGAACTAATGACTGTCTCTACCAGAGGGCTTGAGGGGATACGGTTGTGTCTGCCTCCAGCCAGTTAGTTACTGCTGCTTCTGTGAAGAGAGTGTATCAGTGAGTGTGGTGCAGTGCATTTGGATGATGCCAGACACAGTTGCATAGCTGTTCCTTCTCTGTCACTGTGTCCACATCCAGGAACTTCCTTCCAAACAGCACTGTAGGTGTACCTACATCCCATGGACTGTAGCATTTTCGCAAGATGGCTCAATGTCACTTTCCCCAGTGTTATTCAGGATGGGTAATAAATGCTGGCTCAGCTAGTCATACTCACATTGCATGGACAAATAAAAAAAACTGTGTACAAGCTGTGAGGTGTGAGTCTGAGGCTTACAGCCGTGCTAAATGTGTGAGGGTGAGAGCAGGCTGGTGAATGTAGTGGTTGAATCGAGTACGGTAGGCTCTGTTTTGGGAGTTGAGAGATATTCGCGAGTGGAGTGTGTGTAGTGAATTGAACTGTGTGTGAGACTCCCGGTACAAGGATATGGCATATGAACATGCATTCACTGAACGTGACTACTCAAGTGTGGTCATTGAACTTTTTGTGCAACTGCATCCAGATCCTCAGGGCTAGACAGTTGGTATGAACTAACTGCTCCAACTTCATTGGCAGTGTTTCTCCCAGGTTGTCTTGTTTTCTGTGGAGAGAGGAGATCATCTTGTTAACTTCCTGCACTAAGGCCTCCTGTACTGCATCGCCAGGCCCAAGGGCATGCTGCCTGACTTTTTGAAGCATTTTCCTTCTTTCTGCTCATAAAGTCTTCCACAAGACTTCCAGCTCCGGCTGCAGCCTGGATGGCCTTAAGAGGTGCAGCCTGGCTATAAGTAGATTTAAGTGGTACCGGACGCACATGAACATGGGTAACGTGCTGACACATGAAGCAACGTAACAGCATATTGAATGCTGATGGCATACCACTATCACTAATGGGCAGGGAGCATGACGTTTGCACGCTTCTTAAATTACTTGTTAATAAGTTAATCATGCATTGTGATCTGTGGATCCATTTTCTAGGGCAATCAAAGTTTTAGCTGAAAGTCAGTATGTTGACTACTGATCTCCAACCATATGCATCATTCACTTTATGTACCACACAGGAATGTAGCAACTATAGGATATTTACTCTGCGCTCTATCAGATTTGGTACTTAATACTGACACTAATTGTCTTATGGGCATTGTACTAAGCATTTCAAGTTAATTGACTATCAGGTTAATTTCCACACTGTTCTGACAAAATTCAACACTTTGGACAACTTCCTTTTCTTCTGCTTATGATGGTCCAGCAGAGCAGGTAACAAACAATAAGGAACTACCTATTCAGTGTTTTCACATACAGTAACATTTTAAAACTGCTTATAAAATACAGACATGGTGGCATTGAGTGGAAAGGAAAAGGAAAGTGGAGAGGAAAGAATTATAACAGTGTGGATAGAGGCTGTTCAGCCCATCAAGTCTGCACCAACCCCCCAAATAGCATCCCACCCAAACACATCCCCTATCCCTGCATTTACTATGGCTAATTCACTTGGCCTGCATGCTACAGGCAATTTAACATGGCCAATCCACCTAACTTACAGATCCTTGGACTGTGGGAGGAAACCCATGCAGACACAGGGAGTATATACAAACTTCACACAGACAGTCACCCAAAGCTGGAATTGAACATGAATCCCTGGTGCTGTGAGGCAGTAGTGCTGACCACTGAGCCAATGTGCTACCCAAGACTCAAAGTACGGTTCATGAGGAGGGGATTAGGATGATTTTGATGAAGGTAGGAACAGAGAATTATTGGTGAAGTAGTTTAGAGAGATAATGCCAGGTAATTATCACCAATAATTTACATTTATATCACATTTTTAAAATAGTAAAGCAGCCAGGGAGATGGAGATAATTGGAGTTATTTGAAGAGAGGACCATATCCTGGGTAAGGAGGTAATTTTGAAGACACAGACAGAGATGGAGAAGCAAGATGTTTGAGTGATGGAATTTGATGGAATTCCAGAGATTACAGTCCAGGCAGCATTCGTGGATGAAGGAATTGTCACCAATGACTAAGCTGTTGAAATCAGGGATATGCAAGAGACCAGAGTTGGAGGTGTGCTGATACCTTGAAGAATTGCAGCCTGTATGAAGATCACAGAGACAGGGACGCATAAGGCCATATGATATTTGAGAACAAGGACATGAATTTTAAAATCTAAATACCTCTGGACCTTGAATCAACACATTTCAGCGAGCATCTGGGTGCTGGGTGAATTGGATTTGGTTTGAGTTAGAGAGCTGCAGTACTTTGTGAATTGGTTGAAGTTTATGGAGGTAGGAGATGGAAATGTCTAGTCTAGATTGCAAGAAAGGAATGAAGGAGGAGTTCAGCAGCAGGTAGACTGAGGTAGGGCTCAGCACACACAGTGAGATATGGGCTTAGGCTGTTTTGATTGGCTTCTGATGTTTGAGCAGAAGAAGAGGGAACCAGCAATGATGAGCCTTCGATGCCAAGTACAAAGTTCATAAGTGAGAAGACATCAGCGCTACAAATGGCATTCAGGATGAGTGATAGAGGGAGCATGGTATTATCCTTCATGGTTTCCATTTTGGGAAGATCTAGCTGTAATATTTTGTCATTATTCCTGGGTTACTAGAAGGAGATCAAAGGATAATCCATAGACTATGTTTCTGTGCTCTCTTCTCAACACATTGCACCAACATTCCCCACATCTCTGAGATCAGGTGCAGTTCATAGGAAACGTTATCATTGAGATGGATCAGTGATGAGCAGCTAAAGTGATTCTAGGTATCAGGAAACTTAATTCTGAGAAAAGATTAAGGAAGTTGGACTGATTTTCTCAAGATAACAGGAAACATCAAAATGATTTATCTACATTTTATTTAAAGTTTCCAAGATCATAGCAGAGATTACGAAAGCTCACCGGACTGAATATTTCAAATATAATAAACAGGGAAGGAGGAACAAATTATAAGTTAGGGAGGCATCAGTTGTGGCCTGCTTTAGTGAGAATGTGTCTGGTTGAAATCTGACTCCAGAGTGAGTGTTGCACTGTTTGTTAGACAGGAATCCATTTGCATGGAGGACTGATACAATGATATCATTCGAAAAACAGTAGGAGTGTCCTCCTTGCTGTCCTGCCACATGTAGCATTCAACTAAAACCATTCAAACAGATTGGTCATTTACCTGAGTGCCGATTGTGAATCATTCTCCATGTGCATCGGCAGCTCTATTTGCTACTGTACAACAGTGACTACACTTTCAATATAGAACAAAGAACAAAGAAAATTACAGCATAGGAACAGGCCCTTCAGCCCTCCAAGCCTGCACCGATCCAGATCCTCTATCTAAACCTGTTGCCTATTTTCCAAGGATCTGTATCCCTCTGCTCCCTGCCCATTCATGTATCAATAGTTCATTAGCTGCAGAATGTTTTAGTCCTGAAATACATTCTATTCAAGGAATATTTTTCTACTTTTTCTGTGAAGTGGAGGGGAGATGCTGCCTATGAATATTAAAGAGGATGAAAGATATTGGACAGTGAATATTAAAGGAAACGAGAGAAGCTGTTCAATGAATTCTTAAGAGATTGGGAGATATTGATTGGTGGTTATTAAATCGAAGTGCTTTTGTATTTTTCAGCTGCCTGGATGAAAGAGAAGTCATCACCAGGAGAGAGCAGATATAATGGTAACATGCTGCTCACAACATCTGAACATTCTATCTGTATGTAAACTCTCTTATATTCATTAAAATTGAGATACGCAATCCAATTGTAGCTGTGCAGGAATACTTAACAGGGAGGCTATGGCTAGGGCTGCAACAACAAAACGTAACTAGTTGGGGAACAAATGTAGGAATTATCATCTGCTCAGTTTTAATCCAGTTCCTTCAGGGTTTGTCTGCAGGTATCCTGCACTAACAGCTGGATGCAGTAGCTTCTGAGGAGAGCTCTGTGCAGTAAGTGTTATGGTAAGAGGTCTCTCTTTAAAACATTCCTGTCTTACTAAGTGAGCCAGCAGTGAAAAGAAAGCAATTTTTAATGAAGTTTACCCCTTTGAGAATGTTCCACACATGCATGGATTGAGGTCACAGTTCAGCCATAGTCTTATTGAATGCTGAACAGACTTGAAGGACTGAGTGGCCTACTCCTCTGCTTATATTCCTGTGGCCAAGGAAGTGAGCTGAACTATAACAGTCCCACATAATGACTACCCAGAAAGGCCTGTGTGCAAGGCAGCTACCAGTAGCATAGAACCTCACTTCTAAAATGAACTTGTCATGGTGGCTTAGTGGCCAGCACTGCTGCCTCACAGCACCTGGGTTCAATTCTGCCCTCGGGTGACTGTCTTTGTGGAGTTTGCGCATTCTCCCCGTATCTGTGTGGGTTTCCTCCCACAGTCCAAAGATGTGCAGATTAGGTGGATTGGCCAAGGTAAATTGCCCATAGTTTTCAGGGATATGTAGGCCAGGTGGATTGGCCATGGGAAATGCAGAATGATAGGGGTGGTCTGGGTAGGCGGCTCTTCGGAGGGTCAGCGTTGACCTGATGGACTGAATGTCCTGCTTCCACATTATAAGGATTCTATGATTTTACTTCAAGCACAAGTATTCAATGCTACAATGCACAACCTTTGCTGAGTTTGAATGTTGCATTCAATCTCAGACATCGGTGCAGAAGAACTGAATGACAAGATTTTATGGCCTCCCTGCAATTTATTTATGTCAAGTTTAACATTCTGTGCTGCATTAAAATTACACTTTTCAAGAATGTTATAGAAATTTATAACATCATGAGGGGCATTGATAGGGTGAATAGCCAAGATCTTTTTCCTAGGGTGGGTGAGTCCAAAACCAGTGGGCATAGGTTTAAGGTGAGAGGGGGAAAGATTTAAAAAGGACCTAAAGGGTAACTTTTTCATGCAGAGGGTGGTGTGTGCATGCAATGAGCTGCCGGAGGAAGTGGTGGAGGCTGGAACAATTACAACATTTAAAAGGAACCTGGATGGGTATATGTACAGAAAGGGTTTAGACGGATTTAGGCCAAATACTGGCAAATGGGACTAGGTCAGATTGGGATGTCTGGTCGACATGGATGAGTTGGACCGAAGGGTCTGTTTCTGTGCTGTATGACTCTATGACTCTATAATGCAATCCGTATACATCCCTTGTGTTAGGTGGCACAAGCACTTTCATACATATTAGTGGTATTGTGATTGTTAATTTGCTTTTACTAGTTATTATAACAACACAACCAAAAACAAAATAATTACCACAAAATCAAATAGTCCCTTGCTGCCTCTTGGACCTGGGGAGAACCTGTACATAGCTTGGGCTAGAACTTGGTGCTGTGCCTCAGCTGGGGGTCTGTGAAAGACTTTTGGCAATACGAAGGGAGGTCCCCTTCCCAGAGGAAGAAATTCCACACAAACAGGCTTCCATAGAACGTGATCTTACAAGAAAAATAAGTTAAACAAAGATTGAAACTGGTTCTCACCTATTCACTGAGATAACAAGGTGTAGAGCTGGATGAACACAGCAGGTCAAGCAGCATCAGAGGAGCTGGAAAGCTGATGTTTTAGGCCTAGACCCTTCTTCAGAAACGTCAGCCTTCCTGCTCCTCTGATGCTGCTTGGCCTGCTGCGTTCATCCAGCTCTACACCTTGTTATCTCAGATTCTCCAGCATCTGCAGTTCCTTCTATCTCTCACCTATTCACTGCTATATTTCAATTTCACTCGATACTCTCTGTGTCTTCCTGCAGCTGTATTTATTATTTTCTGATGGAGTGTGTGATCTGTGCGAAGGCCTTTGCTGGTGGTTTTTGAGCTGATTCTTGATGAGGCATAAAAGTGGTTGGCTCTCCACTATTCCTTCTGTATTGTGATGTTCCAAATCTTTACTTTCTGCCTTCCTTTAAGCACAAGGCTGCAATAGGAACTTAACACTCGATGGCTGTAGACAGTGGAGCACTAACAGGTGTGTCTTTGTCCTAATCCCAGCTAAAGTTTTCTAAAGTGAAGAGGTCTCATGTGCATTTACTGTACCACAGACGTGTGGCCCTTGTCTATAATATCCCTCTCCTCCAGTAATCTAATGAACAACAGCACTTACAGCAGCCATATAGATCGGTCCAGCAATCCTGTTGCTCCTCACAATTCATGAAAGAACAAAGATATGAGATAATTGCATGTAAAGAGAAGTCTTGTCCTAAACAAGCACTTTGACCATCAACCTCTTACAAGGAACTAGAATTAACAAGTCTTTATAAAGTACTCAGGTGAAAGGATTTCCTGGTTTTTCCTGGACTGTACAATGTTGTTAGTGAAAACAGTTCCCAACTTCAATGTGCTGCTGTACAGTAAATGAAACCATACAGTTCTCACCAAGACCTACATTAGGCTGGCATAGTGGCTCAGTGGTTAGCACTGCTGCCTCACAGTACCAGAGGCCTGGGTTCAATTCCACCCTCAGGCAATTGTCTGTGCTGTTTGCACATTCTCCCTGTGTCTGCTTGGCTCCCCCTCTGGGTGCTCTGGTTTCCTTCCACAATCCAAAGGTGTGCTTGTTAGGTGGATCAGCTATGCTAGATTGCCTGTAGTATCCAGGCACGTGCAAGCTAGGTGCCTTAGCCATTGAAATGCAGGGTTGCAAGAGTAGGGGGTTGGGTCTTGGTGGGGTATTTTTGGAGGGTAAGTGTGGACTGAATGGCCTGCTTCCACAATGGAGGGATTCTATGAGGTGTTTTTCCTCAAAAACCTCTAAAACAGTGATGCCCACAGAGAGAGATTGCTATTTGTTCAGTCCTGAGGAAAGCAGAGTGCTCAGCTTACAGTTCAAACCAACAATACACTCTCCCTTTCACTGGAGTGTGGGTTTCTCCCTTTCGCAACTATACCCCTCAACCACCACAAACTCCACCACCAAGAGATTGAAGAATAGAAAAAGGAGACACAAAGTGTCAGTGACTGTTCTGGAACTCTCTCCTTCAACCTTTCCATTTTCCTACTCTATCCTCTAACTCTTTTCTTGCTATTGCTCAGCATTTGCTGATATGAAATAGTTTTGCATGGCAAAGAAGTATAAAGAGTAAACAGAAAACAATGTGGGAGGCAATGGGCGTGCTCTTCAACACAAAGAGGGTCCTACTCCACACCATTGGCTAACTTATATCATCAATTAACACTGGTTCATTACTCAGTTCTTCAAAGTAAAGAGATCATTGATTAGGAGACTGAATTCACACTCAAGTAGATAAAGTAAAATGCTCATCTCCCTCAAATTTGAACTCTAACTCCTCTCAGCCATCTTCCTGTCGAGATCATTCACTCATATCATCAAAGCAAAAACAAATTAATCCAGAAAATAATGAGTGATATTTCCACACCACTTTTACGGGTACTGAGGGAAAGATTCTTTCTGCTTATCATTTTGAAATAATTTTTGTAATTTTCTTCAACACTGACTGCACATTTGCATTGAAGAAAGTAGGCTTCTGTTCAATAGAACTTATTTATCTTAATTTTATTCATGCACATACAGCCTTGGAAATCCATAGATGTTACAACACAAGTAGATCCATTCTGTATTAGTGCTTACTCTCCTTGTGAGCAAATACACTTTGAATTATGCTTTTCTAACATTTCTTCGTTTCCTTTTTCTTCCAACCACCTATCCAATGTAAGCTTGCATGTGAACTATGGTTGAGGAATAAATTATTAACCCTGAAAATGATCACCAAAAAATTCTCAAACTTCAGCCGTTGTGTGTTAAGGTCACTTTACAATTCATTTTGTATTGATGGCCACCTTATAAGGTTAAGCACTGTCCAGTGATTGAACAGTGAACAAGCAAAAGTGACAATGACAATCTGTGATTCCTCTCATCAGGCAGTGATGAAGGATGGATGGACACAGAGGCAGACTCCTCCTGCTCTGGGCAACCAATTCATCTTTGGCAATTTCTGAAGGAACTGTTGCTGAAGCCACACAACTATGGTCGATTCATTCGTTGGCTGAACAAAGAGAAAGGTCAGTATCACACTGTGCTCTTAGTCTTGTTGCAATAGGTGCAGCATTGCTTGACATTTATGGGTAACTGCAGGATTTCAGAACAACTGAGTACAGGACATTTCATTAATGGGGCAGTTAATTTGTGCAGAGAAGGATTTCACAAATAAGGTCATAGAGTCATACAGCATGGAAACAGACCCTTCGATTCATACAGCATGGAAAGAGATCCTTTGGTCCAACTCATCTATGCCAACTTTCTCAAACTAAATTAATCCCATTTGCCCGTTCTTGACCTATGTGTCACTAAACCTCCCCTATTCATGTACTTATCCAAATATCTCTTAAATGTTGTAACTGTACATGCATCTACTGCTTCCTCTGGCAGTTCGTTCCACACACAAACCACCCTCCGTGTGTAAATGTTGCCCTTCAGGTCCCTTATACATCGTTCTCCTCTCACTTAAAATTATGCCCTCTACTTTTGAAGTATCCAACCCAAGGGAAAAGAATTTTGTTATTCACCTTATCCATATCCCTCATGATTCACCTTATCCATGCCCCTCATGATTTTATCAACCTCTATAAGGTCACCCCTCAACCCTTCTATGCTCCCAGTGAGAAAAGTCCCAGCCTATCCAGCCTCTCCTTAATACTCAAACCCTCCAATCCTGGTAACATTCTTGTCAATCTTTTCTGCACCCTCTCCAATTTATTAATATCCTTTCTATAGCAGGGCAAGCAGAACTGTATACAGCACTGCAAACGTGGCCTCATCAATGTCCTACACAACCACAATGTGACATCCCAACTCCTATACTCAATGGTCTGAGCAATAGAAGCAAGCATTCCAAACATCTTTATGCCTCTGTCTACCTGTGATGCAACTTTCAATGAACTATGTGCCTGAACCCCTTAAGTCTCTCTGTTTGACAACACTCCCCAGGGCCCTTCCATTTACTGTGTAAGTCTTGCCCTTGTTCATCTTACCAAAATGCAACACCTTGCATTTATCTAAATTAAACTCCATTTGCCACTTGTCAGCCCTGTGGCCCAATTGATCAAGATTCCTTTGTAAGCTTAGATAACCTTCCTCACTGTCTACTACACCACCAATTTTGATGCCATCCGCAAACTTATTAATCATGCTTCTTGCATTTTCATCCAAGTCATTTATATAAATGACAAACAACAGTGGACTCAGCATTGATCCCTGAGGTACACCGCTGGTCACAGGCCTCCGGTCTTAAAACAACCCTCAAACATCTACTGGTCTGCCCTCAGATGAACTTCTGCATTATGTTGGAGGTCTGTGTAGTGGAAAAGAATGAAGCCGATCATAGCTAATAATACAATGGATGTTCCTACAGTACATGGACCACTGCAGTTCAAGCAACAGTTCATCAACTTATCAAGGGCAGTTATGTGTGGGCTATAAATGCTGCCTTGCCGATAATGCATACATGGGAAGTTGGCAAATGTAGGGCACATTAAGGACAGTTATGCTGTCCCAGCTACTGCCCCAGAGCAGTTCAAATCAGAATTATATTTGAACTTTGGTAATGGAAAGGAAAGCATTTTAACCCACCTGGGTTCTTTAGTTTAATTAATACTGCAAATAAAAGTTAGTAACCACTAATAAGCAGAAACCTTGTTCATCTTGTTCTTGACCAGGCATATTTAAGATTGAAGATTCTGCACAGGTTGCCAGGCTATGGGGAATCCGGAAGAACCGACCAGCAATGAACTATGACAAGCTAAGCCGTTCTATCCGGCAATATTATAAAAAGGGGATTATCCGGAAGCCTGATGTATCGCAGCGTTTGGTGTACCAGTTTGTACACCCCGTATGAGGAGAGGAAAGGACGATTCAGAAACTTAGTGATGTTCACATCCCCAAACAGGTGACTGGAAATGTCTGAACATCGAAGGCCCAAAGCTTGCCTGAAGTTTCAGGATGTGTTTTGCATACACACTGCCTGCCTGTATTTGCATTTCACAACTCCTTTCAGATTGGTTTTCAATTTATTCTGGTGGTCGGAACACACTTTTTTTTCCGGCTGTTGCCCCCCCACACCAAGATTGGGTTCACTCATTGTGGAATCTGGTAGCCCATTAAAACCCTGAAGTCATGTGATCACATCTGAACCTTATTTTCTTTCTCGCTACCTTGGTCCTGTTCTATGATTTGAAACAGTTTTCCGATTAACATTGCAGTGGCCCATATGGTTTTGCCGTAGCCTGGGGCTTCACTGTGAGGGGCCAGGGTTTTATTTCTATCTTAAATAATGATCCTGCATAATTTAAAACATAATTAAGGCATAGGTGTCATTTTATTGGTTATCACTAGGGTAGGCACTGGAGATCCAGCAGGTGTGGCCTAGACAGTGGAAAGTGTCAGGAGAGCAATTAGATTTCTGTCCTCAGAAAAAGTCTTTAAAGATTTATTCACAACCAAATATTTCACCGATGTAGCTACAGTGGCTCCTTGAACAAGTTTCTATAAAGCACCATCAATGCGATTATAGTAGTTCATCACATTTAACCAAAGTTTCACCTTTTGCTCTCCCTATTTCTATCAATGGGAGAGAATAACAATGTGTGTTGCAGATTCTTAGTGCCTAGAATTGGACATGTGCCCATACAGACTGATTTTAACTTTGTGTGAATGCATTGGCTAAAATTGGGCCTGTACACTGTATAGCACAAGAAAATATCATTGGCTTCAATTAGACTATGTCAATGTTGCTGCCCCACAGAAGCCTCTCTCCACTCACCCAGCTCCAACCTCATTATTCATCCAGCTTTATGGATATCTTTCTATTCTTTTCTCCTTTGCATTTATCTAGCTTTCCTATAAATACAGTTATGCAGACTAACTTCTTGTGATAGCACATTCTTATCACTCTTTAGGATAAAACATTTCTCCCAAATTCCTTTTAAATTTTTTTATGACTTGCATTTTTGTAACACCCAATTTTGTGTTTGTTTTTAATATATTCAGCTGCCCAGGGCCTATACCTGGGATTCCTCCATAAACCCCTCTGTCTGTCCCTCTTTTCTTTAATACACCTCCGCAGAACCAACCTTTTTGACTAAGCAGTTGGCCAACTGCCCTGGTATTGCTATATATGGCTTAACATTGAATTTTGCTTTCTAACATTCTACTATACCCCATTGGCAGGATTTATTAAATGAAAGTTGGTATATACGTATGGTTTTTTTCATACAAACCTTTTCATATTCCTATAGCTCTCTATTGTTTCTAGACTCCTCAACCTCTGTCCCATTCAAATGTTTCTTATACAAAGGGTATGTGGCCTCCTTATTCTTCCTATCACAATATACCAACTCACATTTATCAACATTTGCCAAGTACATGCCCATTCTATGAGCTTATAAACATCTTTTGTAATTTTTTGCAGTCTTCCTCAGTATTAACTGTAGTCCCAAATTTAGTGCCATGTAAAAATTTTGAAATTGCACTTCCAATTCCCAAGTCCAAACATTAGCCACAGTGGTGTTCATGCCAATCCCCTTGGAACAGCACTTTCTATCTTTTGCTAGCTGAATAGTGACCTTTAACCCTCATTTCTGAGCGATGGCTAGCTTGTTATTCACTCTGCTCTTTATCTGCTAAATACATATGGCCTGATCATAGTCATGAGTTCACAAACTTGTGAAACTTAGAAACCAAATACATTACATTATTACATTACTCTGGTCTACTCTTTGTATTACTTGAGTCAGCTTGATCCAATATGACTATCCTCAGTTTCTGGTGTTTTGCTATTATATCGTTGAATAAAGATTCTCTTAGCTTTCACTCCACCTCTGTTAAGCGAGCTACCTTTTAGTGCCCTAGGCCTATTCTATCTATAGCTGCTCATTTTTAACTACGTATGTAAAAAGCCATGACATTGATATCAGGATCTGCTGTTCTGCAGTCATGAGGAATTTTTTGGACAGGTGTGTCTGAATTCTGAAATGTTCTGAGTTACAGCAGCATTCCCTACCCTTGCAAAGGAAGGAAGAAAAACTTGAGCAAGACCAAATTTATCTGGCTGATTACCTGCTGTCAAATATAGTCACGAAGTAATCTGACCATGTCCATGAGCAAAGCAGAAACATACTCCCTGCTAGAGGGAGAAGTTCAAGTACCAAAATTGACAAAATATATACATACAATGAAAAATAATATTGAGAGTAGACAGATGTTGAAATGATAAAAATGGCCTAAGATAGATGACCTAGAGCATCATTTACAAAGTTTGGCTGAGTGCCTTAAGTTCTTCAGAATAAAAATACCCATTTATTGAATGGTACATCAAGTGAAAACCTCATTAAACTGTAACAGTGCATTGATGGAGGCTGGTTTATGCTTCTAAAATTCCACATGCTGAGTTCCTAATCACAGTCTCACGGTAGCGTGGAAATGAAGTACGGTATAAGGTTCTTCACCACAAACCAAACACAGTCATTCTCATTAATATGTCGCTCTCAGCTTCAGAAAAACATTGGCCCATTTCTGATGAAGGGTCTAGGCCCGAAACGTCAGCCTTCCTGCTCCTATGATGCTGCTTGGCCTGCTGTGTTCATCCAGCTCTACACCTTGTTATCTCAGATTTTCCAGCATCTGCAGTTCCTACTATTTCTTGGACCTGTCAGGTTGGCTGTAAAACCTGCTGGTTGGTGAAGAGTGTAAAATGGATAGGGGCCTGTGTAAGAATTGGATTCCACAAATGGAGTGTTTGATACTAAACAGAAATTCTTCAATCCTACGTAAAGTGGTACATTCAAGCGGATAGAATACAAGGTCTACTATGTAACCTGGGACACAATAGGTGCCACTCATTTTCAAAATGATAATCTTTGTGAGATCATAGAATCATAAAATCCTTACAGTGTGGAAGCAAGCCATTCAGTCCAACAAATCTACATCAACCCTCCGAAGAACATTCCACACAGTTACACACCCCTACCCTACCCCTGTAACCCCACATTTCCCATGGCTAATCCACCCAGCCTGCACATCCTTGGACACTATGGGCAATTTAGCATGGCCAATCCACCTAACCTGCACATCTTTGAATTGTGGGAGGAAACCAGAGCACCCGGATAAAACATGTCACACCAAGATTTAAATTCCTAAATGTCTTTATTGGAACGGCCTATTAAAGGCTTAATGTAGAGCATAATCCATGTGACATATTACTATAAAATGCAATATTTACCATGTTATTGATATATATCAAATACAATATCATGTATATTGATGTAAAGAAGGCATGACATTGGACCAAAACCCATTTCTGTCTGAAGGTGATGCCAGTGAAACTATTCATAACATCCTCTGAACCCATGATGCCACCTTCACCTCCCCACGCACCCCCCCACCCCCGACCTTCACTTGACTAACCCAGAAAGGTGGGACCACTGCAATAGTTTCTAAGATATCCACCATCGCTATTTCTATTGACTAATGATAAGATCAGGAGAATGCAGGGAAATTGTACCACTTTTGCCATGTATGCACATTTCTTTCTTTCCAGTTGGAGATCAAAATGCCAGGGCAAGCTGCCTCCACAAATCAACAAATTACATTCTTTAATTGGACAATTAAATTAAAAGAAATGAAATCAAAACATGCCAGAATAATCTGCGATTATATTAGATTCATTGTTGATTGGGATGGAATTTCATGATTTCAAGAACATTGAGGAAATGCCTTTTGCTGTGGTTTCTGAGCACACACTTTCCATCACAGATAAGTCAATAATGAACCTTCACCAGTTCTAGTTCACTTTTGTCTGCATAGATACAGTTTGCTAAAGAACAATGACTAAGCTTACTTTTGGCCATATCGGTCAACTGAGTAGGGCCATAATAATCTTCATTTGACCATCATCTACATTAGTGAAGTGTAATGGAGTGTAAGGGGGATAATAAAGTGTGAGTGGATTCTGTTTGAATGTAACATGAGGAGTGTTCAGATTTTACTGAATTGTCCCTAACAGTTGGTCAAGTAGTTACCATATTAAACAATCCTTAGTTAATGGGAGAAAATGATTATTAGATTCTTCTTTAATGATAATGAAATATAATTGGTCTAATTACCAGCATCAACTTAGAAGTCATTATGCTCTTTGAACTCTGCTGGTTATCAGAAGGTCCATCAGAGGGCTCTACAACTGAACACTGTCAGGTTAAATTGTATATAATTGTTGTTCACATTCCACTGGGGTAAGTTACTGTTCACACTGCCTAAATACTGCTTTTTTTTTGAAAATAGGTTAATTTTTTTTAAAAAAGACACTCACTATTTGTCTTGTAATTTTCTGCACTTCAGACTAATATGGAGACTGCAAAAACGTTTATTTATGTGGTTTTAACTATGAACAATGTTTGTGTAGCATTATAGATAAATTCAGTTTAAGGTGATTATTAAATCCTTTCCTGCCTTGTACTTGGGTGGTATTGATTGGGGGGACTAGCGAGGGGGTGATAATAATGGAAATGTTTACAAAAATTGGAAAGCAAAAGTCCGATGCTTTCCAATTAATGACTATTGAGAACGAAATGGAAATTTAGGGGACTCTGAATCACACGTAATCCATATTTGATATTTTCACTGGATGCAAAATATGCAAGAGAGCTCCTCCTCCCCAATCTGCACCCCTCACCTATAATTAACACCCTACCCCCTAATCCTGTAATAAATATGTTTCAGTTCTTTCCTTGAATTAAGGTGCACTGTCGTTTAAAGAATAGTAATCTGATCCAAAATGCCAAACTTGGTTTCAAAATTCTTTGACTGATGTTGGTCACACCAATCATGGTGAAGCACATTTATTCTTGTAAACAGCAACACTAACCTGTAAGAACTTAATTCTTTCTTTCCCTCTTTCAATTTGCTTCCTACCAGAAGTTTGGATTGTTGCCAGTGAAGTGCTGCCATGTTGTGCTTGTTTACAAATCACAGTGGGGTTTGTGGCTCTTTTCAAAATGAATCCATTATGTTAGTGGCTGGCAGAACAGTATGCATATTCCCAAAAGGAAAATATTTCTGAGCAAAAGCTTTAAAAACTCTTCTATCGCCAGCAACCTACTTTTAGGATGAATATGGAGAAGAGCTCCCTTTAGGTAGTGATAATCGTCAATGCCAGGGTGATGATTGTATTGCTTTATTCGGGGTCAGTATTGGTCACACCAATTGGTTTGGGATGGGAAGTTACCTAGGGTTATCTGAATTGATGTTGACATTGTGTCAAGTTTTAGCCCTGATAATCCATTATTTCCCTCTCTTTCGCTGAAGCCTGAAGATGGAGTCAATTAACAGCAACACACAAAAGTATACACGCCTACAATTTGCTGTGTAGCTCAGATTGTGGTCTTGTAGGTCAATAGGAGGAGTAGATCAGTCAACAGTACAAAGTTTTTTTAGAAGGTATTATATTCAAAATCCGTCCATCTGGTATTACTGAAGGAGTTTTGGCAGATTTGTAAACATATGGAGTACTCAATAAAGAATTCTGGCCTAATGGGGAACAAATAAAATTGTTTAACTTAATATTTGCTGATTTGTACAGTAGGTTACCAGGGAAGGCAACTATATTTGACAGTACAAATAGGATCAAAGGGAAATTAAATACATTTGCAGAGAATGCAAGTCTTAATAAATTGCCTCAGTGGGGAAAATTGATCTGTGTAAAAGGAATCTTGTGTTAGAATTTATGACCTTTTCTTAAAAGGTTCTCATCTAAAACTTCCTTGGAGTTTGCTTGCATGAAAGTTGGAGATAGCGAGAGTTAAAGTCATAGTGTTTTAGAGGTCTATAGCATGGAAACTTAGCCAACATGCCCAGACCACCCAGTTTTCATCATTAAACTAGTCCCATTTCCTTGCATTTGGTCCATATCCCACCATATCCATCCATGTACCTGTCTAAATGTTTCTTAAATGACAAAATTGGAGAGAGTCCTGCAAGATTCCGATACAGCTCCCCATCCTCCTAAATTGGCCACTTCCAACTTCCATGAAATGGTTCCTCTCAGGCCAAACAAACAGGCTACCCTTCCACACAGAGCATTTGTGCATAGACATTTGGTGGTGAACATCAGCCCAAAATTGCTTAAAGTGAAAACAATTCCTTTCAACAGTTGTGTTCTCAAAATCTGGTAAAGATTCCTCATGATAAAACTTAACTTGCAATGAAGTTATCGCACTACAAAATGGATACTTTTGAATCATTGTATAGAACTGGGATCGAAGTCACTGACTGGGGAATGGTGTTGATTTATAAATGAAGTGAGGTTTGATGAATATTAGATTTTTAACAATCGCTTTCAACATGTCAGTTTTTGTTTGTTTGATATTAGAGTTGTAAAATTAAAACTGTGAAATACAATAATTAAAACTACATGTTGAAATTCCTAAAGGGGTTTGTTTTTAATTTCAACATTTCCTCACTTTGGGGTATAAAAATGTCTTTGACATTAAAGCCAAACCTCTTCACAGTGGGAGCAGTGCTCTCAAATCAATCAAAGAATTCAGGCAAAGAAAACAAGAATAAATCCAATTATGAAGACAGCGAGCTGTGAAGATTAGAGAAGACCAATCTTTATATTTTAGAAAAGGTACTGAACTTGATCAAATTAATAAATGAAACTGTAGTTGAAGGTAAGAAGAACTCATTATTAATTTAAAGTCCACCAGAAAAGGAAGATCAGGAATGTAAATGGAAATTAGTAAAAAGTTAACAAAGAACATTTTATAAGTACTGCATTTGATGACATTCTTTGGGAGTAAGTTGTATGGCAGGGTAACAGAAACAAAACATGGTTGGAAGTCATGATTGGAGAATTTAGGGTATGAGGCTTTCTCTCAGTATTTTGTGTACTCTACCACTAGAGAAATTCACAATTTTAATATTAATAGCTTTGTGCGAAGGATTCACAGTATGAAGCCACAGACCCCGGCTAGTGCAGTGCTCCTTCAACTTCTTTGCTAAAAGGAGACCTTTCCAAATGGCTAATCACATAATTTATAATCACATTTCTCCAACTGAAATAACACAATAAATTCCTTATATATTTACACTTCTGAATGCAAAGTTTAGCAGTCTCCTGTTAAAGACAGCTACATTAAATGTCACCAGGGCAGTGCAGAGTAAGTGAACAGTGATGTGGCTAGTGATGTGAAAATTTATATGTTCCCTTCAGCTGGAAGCCAACTTTACTGGTTCAGCAACATGCCTGTCGAATAATTCACTGTGTAATACTTGCCTGTTCTTCCTGGAGTGGGCTGTTTCAGTAATTTCTGTTGAGATTGTCACTATTTTAGGTGTAAAGCTTCATTGCCCTCCCACTCACAGCTCTGCTGTCAAACTGTTTTAGGTGTTGTTTCCTCCTCTTTCTCCAACTACCAGACTATCCGCACCAGAATACCATTGGCACACTGCCTGCTGTGTGGCATTCCTGCCACTGGAGACACTGCCAGTAAGTGGGACGGCATTTTATCCTGGGTCTAGTCACAGACCCAGCTGCTGCACTCAGTAAACAAAGCTCTGTTTGATGGCCATTCCAGACTGATTCCACCCTCAACTCCAGCCTTTTGAACCTTCTGTGGTGTCTCTGGGGCTTCTCCTCCTTCAGGATTTTCAGACACTCTAAGAAGTGATGAATTTAAATTTCCATTTCCAGGACTGTCTCCATCTTGGTGCCCAGCTGAAAGGTGCTCGCAAGTTACTCCCGGGCAAGTGCCATCAATATTTTGGGTTTATGACTGACCAGAAATTGAACTAGACTCACCATATAAATACAGTATCTACAAGAGCAGGTCAGAGGCTGGGAATACTGCAGCCAGTAATTCACCTCCTGACTCCTCAAAACCTGTCCACCACCTACAAGGCACAAGTCAGGAGTGTGATGGAATACTCCCCATTTGCCTGGATGGATGC